TACACACAGACCCTTTTACACACAGACGCTTTTACATACAGACACTTTACACACAGACGCTTTCACACACCGAAGCTTTTACAAAAAAAACACTTTCACACACAGAGACCGGACCCGTAACATCGAAATTTTACCTCAGTTTTTGGCGATCGAACCTCATTTCGCGTGTAAAGGTTGCGATTGACACCTCAAAATCACAATTTTGCCTCAATTTTTGACGTCCAACGTCCATTTCGTGCGAAAAGGTTGCGATGGGCCAAGTAAAATCATACTGCAGTTTTTGGCGATCGAACCTCATTTCGCGTGTAAGGGTTGCGATTGACACCTCAAAATCGCAATTTTACCTCAATTTTTGATGTCCATTTCGTGCGAAAGGGTTGCGATGGGCCAAGTAAAATCGCAATTTTTACTGCAGTTTTTGACGTCCAACGTCCATTTCGTGCGAAAGGGTTGCGATGGGCCAAGTAAAATCGCAATTTTACTGCAGTTTTTGACGTCCAATGTCCATTTCGTGCGATGGATACTTCAAATTAAGTCGAAATTTTGCCTCAGTTTTTGACGTCCAACGTCCATTTCGTGTGAAAGGGTTGCGATGCATGGATACTTCAAAGTCGCAATTTTACCTCAATTTTTGACGTCCAACGTCCATTTCGTGCGAAAGGGTTGCGATGGACAAAGTAAAATCGCAATGTTACCTCAGTTTTTGACGTCCAACGTCCATTTCGTGCGAAAGGGTTGCGGCTGACTAACTACAATCGCAATTTTACCTAGGTTTTGGACGTCCAACGTCCATTTCGTGCGAAAGGGTTGCGTTTCGTGGCGCTCCGGCGGCACCGCCCCCGCCTTAAGAGAGAGAGATAGAAAGAAGAGCGAGAGAAGATGTGAGGGTGCGAAGAAGCAGATCTGCAGATGTGAAGGTGTGAAGATGTAGATCTGCAGATGTGAAGGTGTGAAGATGTAGATCAGCAGGTGTGAGGGTATGAAGATGTAGATCAGCAGATGTGAAGGTGTGAAGATGTAGATCAGCAGATGTGAAGGTGTGAAGATGTAGATCAGCAGATGTGAAGGCGTGAAGATGTAGATCAGCAGATGTGAGGGTGTGAAGATGTATTACAACGGCTGCTTTTTTACGAAGAACCCTTCGCAGGCGCTCTCGGGAAAAATGTTAAGAGCACCCAGGGTTCGGACGATTTTTGGAAGTTGAGATGTTGAAAGTGCACGCCGTTGTGGCGCGAAGCACATTGTCAAAGACACTTCATGACTTTCATGACTCTTCATGCTCGGAGCATTTTTGGATGTGGCACGAAGCGCGTTTCCAAATCAAAATGCTAAAAGTACGTAAAGTACGTTCGGACCCTTTGGACGTTCAACCGTCATGTTTGTGGCAGGCGCAATGGATTTTGATGGATTCTGATGGATTCTGCGCCTTCAAAAAAGTGAGCGAAACGGGAGGGTTTCGTGACACTTTGGAAAACGGTGGCAGGCGTGGGATGTTTGAACAGATCTGCATTCCACGTGGCAGGTGCCAGTACAAGAGACATCTCCATCAGACATGTTCTGAGGTCAGGGCGCTGATTCCTGAGAGGGGTTGCATTTTGGAGCATCAAACTGTCAGGTTTGCTCAGATTATTTTCCATGACAGGTGCAGCACTTTGTATGACTGGGCCTCACTGTTTCCTAGCGGGCGCACTACTTTAGAAACATGGGATGGAAAATCACAAAACGCATTGGTACGAGGTCGTCACCTCTGCACCTAACTTCTCCGTTTCAAGCAAGTCTCGCAGAATCGCTTTGTTTTTGATGCTGTCAATTTGAATGTGTGAGGAGGTCTTGGAGGTGGACCATGTGAGATCGTTTGAGAAAGCCTCGCAAAATTGCACCCATCGTTTTGGACCCAAGGAAGTCTCGCATAATTGCTTCCTTTCGAATAGGGAGCTGGATATTTAATCTAGATGGATGGATGGATAGATAAGAGATAGAGATAGAGAGAGAGAGAGATAGATAGATAGATCGATAGATAGATAGATAGGGAGACACAGAGAAAAGAAGAATGATACAGAGATTGGGAGAAAGTGACAGAGAGAGAGAGAGAAAAAAAAAATGGATAGAAAAGGACATAGGTAGTGAGAGAGAGATACATAGATTGATCGATCGATAGATAGGTAGGTGGATAGGAGGAAAAAATAGGTAAAGAGAAAGAGATAGTTAGGTAGATAGGTAGATGGATAGGAAGGAAGAAGGATAGGTAGAGAGAGAGAGAGAGATAGGCAGATAGAGAGATAAGATAAAATAACATAAGCTAAGAAAAGATAAGATTAACGCAGATAAGAATAGGTCAGATGAAATGATTAGGTAAGCAGGTATATATATATATAGATAGATAGATAGATAGGTAGGTAGGTAGATAGGTAGATAGGTAGATAGGTAGATAGGTAGATAGGTAGATAGATAGATAGGTAGATAGATAGATAGGTAGGTCGAGGGAGATGGAGAGGGAAGAGGAAGATAGAGAGAGTCACATTTCAACCTCCTTTCGGTCCATCAGTGGTTCGCTCTGCCATCTATGCATCACCGCAATTCACCTCTCCTATAGGTTTCCTACCTGTGAAACTTCCGCCACCGCCTTGCGCGGTCCTACTGGTATTCATGAAGCCTTTGTGATTGAGGCTTGAAATTTCACTTTTTTCCTCGCAAACTTCTTCACAAAACCCAGGTTTGCAGTGTGGTATGCTGCCAGTATTGATTCCATTATTGCTGCGTGCTTGATCGACCTAGTGCCTTTCCTAGGGGCACTCATGGTAGGACTTTTGAGTGGAGCTACGGGTTTCTTGGTGTATCACCTTCACGTGGTAGTTGGAGGCTACAACACCACAGTCTTTGCGTTCTGCTTCTGCATTGGTTTTCTCAGCTCATTAGCAGCTTTGATGCCATTGAAGAGTGGTTCTTGTACGATTATCGTTTGCTTCGCCGAAGAGGCTGATTTCCTACGCCGCAAAGCACCGGCTCTCTACGAGGCATTGGTCCAGAAACAGATCGAAGAAGATGCGGACTCCTCGATGGGCTCAGCCAGTTCCTCTCGCCGAGGATCTCATCAACATCAGATCCAAAACCAGGGCGGCCAAGCGCGTGATGTGCGAGCCGCGCCACTGATGGAGATGCAACCCCAAGGCCAACCACAAGGACGCTAATTCATGCCCATCCTGCCAACAACTCCATCGCCGGACCATGCACAAATTAATTAGACCTTGATGGATTAATGGATCTTGATAGTTCTATTTGACGGAAAACAGCAGTTTGCAGAGACTGGCAGTTGCATTTGCGTTCGCTGACTTTTTTGCTTTCTTGGATTTCTTCGAAGCGGACCCATGGGCCAGAGGAATTTTCATCCTTGTTCACTTTAGTTTCGTGCAGTCTCATAATGCAAATGACGGCAGGCAGAGACAGATCAATTGCATGAAGAAGAAAAAAAAAGAAGAAAAAGAAGCTACGCTGCACATGTTGCGGAGGAAGCGAAGTTCTCGAAGGCATTCAGGACGGGACTGTAGCGATTGGGCCGGTCGGCTTATATAGATGGTTTTATGTAATCTTATCTTATTTCTTCAGCCCGCAAAAGTGAGCACAATACCAGTATCTGGGAAATCATTGACGCACCATGCTGCAGCCGCCGCTATGTTGATTCTGGACGCGTCTCTTTTTGGACAGTTCATGGATCATTGATGGCATGTGCCCTTCGCAAACGAATATAGGGGATGTGCCGCTTATATAAATCATTTTAAGTCTGTGGTGTTTAAGTCTGGTGTTGTTGTTGTTGTTGTTGTCGTTGTCGTTGTCGTTGTTGTTGCCGCTGCTGCAGCTGCCGCTGCTGCTGCTGCCCTACCGCGCCTTCCAAGAAGCAATAGAATATGGGCAGTTCGCCTTGCGTCCATTTGCTGTCTTGCAGCTTTCACGGCCAGGAGCAGATGGCAAGTGCATGAAGCCGTTTCTTTTTCCTGACAATGCTGGGCCTGTTGCGCTGCATGAATCTTATACCACTCGGATGCTTGTTTCATCAAATCTTTTCACAAGTTCTACTATTTATTGATTGACATTATTTATGAATATTTATGACATGTCATTTATCTTCAATGATGTCGGCTAGTGCTGCAAAACATTTACGATGCAGATCCACAGAACCTGGTATCCGAGCCACTTACGCAAAATCTGGCTTGATGCAGCCAGAGCTTCTTCCACCAGAATCCGCTAAATTCACCCAAATTCGAAGTTTGTAAATGCAGCCGGGCAGAATTTAGATGCCACACTAAGCTGCTAGTAAATAGGTGTAAATAGTAAGAGAGAGAGATCGCCTAGGCTCTCAGGGCTGAAGTTTCAGCAGCTCTGAGGAGACTGCGTAGATCTAAGTAGGCTGGATGGCACTGGTATGCATTGGGGATAAACGAGCAGCCTGATCAGCTTGTAGCACTTGAGCATGGTGCTAACGCTGTTCTTTTGGATTGCTTCGTATCCGATTGGAGCGGGGTTCAACACTTCCATGGGATTGTGAGCATTGAGTTCTTTCTTGAATTGAGGCCATGCATAGTAGTCAGTTGTCATCGAGCTAGGATTTTTGGAGCAGATGTGAAATCGCGCCAAATTGTGCAAATCACGAGCTTCTCCACCCTTTGCTATGCATGGATGAACATGGTTGAACCTGTTCATGGATGAACTCACAGTTTGCACTCTAGGATTGTGCTGCTGCTGATGCCGGCTGCTGGTGCTTGTGCGGGTGGTGGGCTGCAACAGCCGGGCTGTGACGACTTCGACCGTGGTATTGTTTGAGGGTGTGGGATGGTGTGGGTAGGTGCTGGTCATTCGCATTTCAATCCTTCTGCGCCCTTTTGCATTGCTCGTTGCCATTTGCAGATCAAATTTTCATGATGGAGCCCGAAATACAAGAAGAGCTGCCAGGACCCTCATGGCTGCCTCTGCGTTGGGACCCAGAATGTCCCGTCCACCAGCATTTGATGGAAGCTGCCAAGTGCCTGAGGGAGACTGGACGCTTTGAAGATGCTTGGCCGAGAGTTGCGGGGTGGTATATGTTATGCAATAATATGCAATATACAAGTGAGCACTCAAGTATGCATATGTACAAGCCGTAAGAGATGTCAAACTGTAAGAGATGTCTTTGATGACCCAGGAAGCTTTGCGCAACTTCACGGAGGCTTACCAGAAGCACTTGAAGGATTTGAATCGACCGCATCTAGGTTTTTCAGCCATATTTCCGCTCTTTTTTGCATCCCTGCGCAGCGGCCGCGATGTTTCAGCCACAAGCTGCGGCCGAGCACAGCTGGTGCGATGTGAGGATCACATTACAGATGCGCTACTGGGCAGGCAAACATGGCAGCGAGGGATGCTTGGGGATGTCTTCAGATGGTCAAACCCGGGCAATGTTTTGCTGATTAATGGCGTTGAGCGTCTAAGATGTCTAAGGCTTTACTGTCAACTGATACTTGGGACTCATGCACATGATGACCATAAAGAACCCAGACATGGGAAGCATGCCCACTAGCGAATTCGGGACATTTGGGGTATTGTATGGTATTGTGATGTAATGTAATATCTAAGATCATCCAAGATCTGTCTCGTTTATATGTAATATATTTTTTCGTTTATATTATTTAGTTATTAAAATACGCTGTAAGTAATCGCTCAAAATAGCACACCACCTGCTCACTTTCAGCTTCTATTGAACTGTCTGAGATGGCGATGGCGAGAGAGAGAGAGAGAGAGTGTGTGAGTCCATCGCAATTTTGAATCAGCATTGAATCATGTGTTTGTTTGTTTTTTTGTCTCTGCCAAGGCCTGAAAGGTAAACATGTCGGAAAAAATGTTCTGAAGACTTAGGTTCGCATGCTGCCGCTCCTTGTTGGAATCCCTTGCCTCTGACTTCGGGACACAAATACCGCAATGTCCTTCAGACAGCGGTGCTAAGCAGAAATTTGTTCACGAGCTTTGCGCACAAGCAGGCGCATCCTTTGTTTTCTTGGATGTTTCTTTACTGCATTCCGTCACTGACACTGCACTTAGTGACTTAGTGAACAATTGGCTCCAAGGATTTGGACAGTACATGTAGGGACTGCATGATGGCGCAGCGTCGTAATCCCTTCCAACACAATACGACTAGCAAGTCCACACTATAGTCAATATTTTCTACGACACTGTTCGCACCTTTCCCTACTTGATGCTACTTGATTACGGAATTGTAGCTGTTCCCCCGCATACACAACTGATAGAATCGCAATAAATCTATATAACATGATATAACATGCAGATTCGGGCTACTTCTCCCTCCTCCACCCTAAGACTGAGTTCATTTGCATCCGTTCCGTGGAGGTATTTGTTTAGACATGGTCCGGCTTGGCCGTGTCTACCGAAAGAAGAGGCGGATGTTGATGGAAAGGGCCAGGGACTGAATGACCAGGCTTCAGTAAGCAAGATAAAGAGCTTCTGTTTCGAAGTTGCCCAGTGGCCCAGGAGAGTGTGCTCCGTGTAATCACACAAGCCTTGAAACTATGCATTGCAGTTGAGCAGATGGTGCACATCATTGCCATTGCACTGAGGTCACCGGATCAAACTTGCTGGACAGCATGAGCAATGCTACTCGTTGAAAGCCAGGTTCATTTTCTCCTTGCTATATATCAACAATTTGCTAGGGAGATATGCCATGCAGTGTCCCGCCTCATTGCTGAATCATAATGTGTACATCAATATTGCTGTCGTCATTTGCGTCCTCGTCATGGCCATCATGGCCATCATCATCGTTGCTGTCGTCGTCATCGCCGTCATCGTCATCAGCATTGGCATCAGCATGGCCATCACCATCATCAATACCAATGACAACCGTAACCGTGGCATTTGTGTTGTCCGTCAATCCTTGTCACCGGGTTCTTTCTCAAACATTCATCTACAGGCATAAGCACCGTGGAAGTACAGCACAGTCCCTGGCTAACCCCCCCTATTTGCCAGAAGAATCCATACGATACAAAGCATCCAGTCCTAGAGGAAGCCGCCAGGCCCTCGGAACTCGGAACTCCAACATGTTTTTTTTCCATGTTTTTCTGCTAAGGCGCCCAGCACACCAGCAAGTAGCCATCTTGAAGCCACGCCGCGAACGCCAGCAACACCAGCGGCTGGAAGTGCTGAGTACCAAAAACTCATGTCGTTCCTTGGTGTGTTTGTCAGAGCTGTGCCAGTATTTGTTGAATATTTGTTTAGCCAATCCGTCACACCACCTTGCCAGCCAGTTCCAGGGGGGCATTGTGCATCACAGAGGCCATGAGGCGGTCATGGTCGTCGATTGCTAGACTCGTTCCGGCAATGTTAGGTCTGGTTTTCTACGAGCCGGGTCTTTATTAAGATCCGTGCAGGCTGGAATTCTGGATGACTCAACTGAAGAGTACTGTAGAGTGTTGGTTTGCTGAGTGGTGTTGTCTTTTGAGACAGGGATCATCATGGATAATCCATGTGGTTCTAGCTCCACCAGGCCATCACCAAGCTCCCTACGCACCACCCGCCTGCCAATTCCAACCCATAGTTTCAAAAAGAAGCAGTGTCAGACAGGACCAAAGAGTTACTTAGTTCATTCAGGACTTGATTGTTAAGACGAAAGGTTTTTTCTGTGAGACACATCGAGACAGTGGGCATCTCCATGAATGAAATAAGCACAAATCAGTCAGGTTTTGGGTGCAATTGAGTGGATGTAAATGTGCTTTGCGTGTTGCAACTGGGTCCTCCGCAGGTAGAGATGGATGAATTGCATGAAGAAGCTCAACGTTATGCAGCGGACCTGAAGCAGGGCAAGGTGGCGGAAGGGAAGGAAGCTCTTCACGGTGTTGCACAGGACGGAACTATTGCAACTAGGCTTAGCTGTTTAGTACCAAACGTGAGCACAATATTCTTTTGCAGCGTATTGACTACCACCATGTCAGGCACTACCACGCGAGTCTTTCCTTGATGATGGGTAAGACAGTAAGACAGGCATCAACAAGCTTCTCAGAGGTCTTTTTGTCATTGCAGGTGCCCGTTGTCCTTGGCTTTGAGGTTCGGGAAGAAAATGATTCAATTTACTGTACCACCCCAGTGATCCCATATTTCTATTGGACTAGACTCGACCAAAGTGAATCTGTCAATGTTTTTTCCATTCATGATTAAAGTGAGCCAAAATCTATGACCAAAGAGAACCCCACCCCGAATGTGGCTTATGAAGCATGTGAACCGTTTGCCCTGCCCTGTGAGTTTCCATTTCCATTTGTTATGTATCGATTTGCTGCTCTGTATTGAGCAGGTAGGCTTGGTCGGCGAGGCAAACTTTTCCAGATATCCTTTCCCAGAGGAATTGTTTCAAGTGCAATCATGTTTTTGATTCCTGGAGTCTCTTTTGGCTGTTCCCAAACGATTTAGCCGCCAATCATATGACATAATTATATGAAATATCTACTCCCCTGACTCTGATTCTATGACATTACGATCTAGATATTATCATAATAAATTAATGACATATATATATATATAATTATATATATATACGTATATATATCTAAGATCTCATGAGATGAGTGTCAACAGGGACGCAACTGCTAAGGACCAGGAGCTGCTGCAGACCTTTGGCAGTTTTTTAGACCTGCAGTTGTTGCCCCTCTACGTGCGCGACGTGCCACTGGAATATGTGGGAGAGGCAGCTTGGGCATGCTTTTAAGGAGTGAGCAGGCATGCCAATATGTATCTAATATATATATATATAATGTTATTATTATTTTTGTTATTATTATTATATATATATCATGTGTATATGATACATATATATATATACACTATATATATATTATGTATACGTATATTTTATCATATGATTATCCAATTAATAATTTTATAATACTTATACAATCTATAGGGGAGAGAGGTCTGTGATGGTCTATGCCTATGATATGTGAGCGTATAGGTAGTGCACACAAAAAAAATATACCATGTGTTTCTACGATGCAGCATGCTGCACACCATACGTATCCAGTATCCATATTATGATAATATATGTAATATGACTACTGTAATATGTAATGTGTAGTATGTAACAATAATTTTGTACAAAAACCTATTACTGTATAAATATATATACATATATTATGTGCATCATTGAGGTACCTGTCTTGTAACGGAGGTCCTCCCACCACAGTCTCTGAAATCCTGACTCGAAGCATGAAAGTGGCAGACCTGGGCAGTTGGACATCAAGCTTCGCGATGTTGATGTCCCAACACGGTGTGAATTCACACGCGCAATTACGGCTAACTGCCCGAGACATGCGCAGTGTTTTGTGAGTACTTCTGCACAGTGTGATACAGTTCTGCAAAGTGTGCTTTCTTATACATAATACTTGTATGACTTTGCCTTGGGCGCCTCCATAGATTCTAGAGTGGCCGGCCATAAGGGATGAAAAGCAGTGCGGCAAGATTGATTGAAACAAGCTAAGAGAGATACAACAGCAGTAGTGTGATAATGACTTTGCATGCACACCCTGTGCCGTGTGAGGAGCTTGGCGACAAAATTTTCGGGAGCGTGCATATATATATATATACATTATAGATAGATTAGATTAGATTTAGATAGATCAAGGCATGCTCTAACATTTTTGTCGCAAGTTAAACTTCTTAAGCCACTCAGTCAGTCATCGAGGTGAAACTGAATTTCGAAAATAAGCACATATCTTTGCGACAGCGTGCAACACTATGTGACACTCTATGCAGTAATGTTTGTGCTGAGTACTCCTACTTTGCCTTGATTGATAGCTTGCAATTTCAATATCATTAATTTTGGATCTTGATTAGTGTAGAGCCCCCAATAAACATTTGAAAGTGCCTCTTTAGGCTAGTAACTTCTGAAGGGTCGTGGTCTGAATGATTTTGGATCATGATCTTGAGTAAATATTTTAATTTGCTTTAAATTGATTTCAACTTACTTTCAATTGATTTTATTTAGTTTCAATTGGTTGAAATTTACTTTCCATTGATTTCAATTTACTTTCAATTGATTCAAATCTATTTTCAAGTTACGATCAATGATTTTCAATTGGTTTCAATTTACTTTCAATTAATTTCAACTTACTTTCAATTGATTTCAACTTACTTTCAATAGATTTAAAATTACTTTCCATTGATTTCAACTTACTTTCCATTGATTTCAACTTACTTTCCATTGATTTCAACTTACTTTCCATTGATTTCAACTTACTTTCAGTTGATTTCAACTTACTTTCAATTGATTTCAACTTACTTTCAATAGATTTCAATTTACTTTCCATTGATTTAAATTTACTTTCAATTGGTTTCAACTTGCTTTCAATTGATTTACTTTCAATTGGTTGAAATTTACTTTTGTATAATTGATTTCAATTTACGTTCAATAGATTTGAATTTATTTTCAATTTACGCTCAATAGATTTGAATTTATTTTCAATTTGATTTCAATTGATGTTCAATTGATTTCAATTTAATTTCAACTGATGTCAATTTACTTTCAATTGATTTCAACTTACTTTCAATTGATTTTCAATTGATTTTAATTTGCTTTTAATGTACATCCCATAGAAAGATTTTAGAAATAACATGGAAGTAGGATAGGAACCACAAATACATCCCATAAGAACCCCATAAGAATCCCATAGCGTTCCCATAGAATTCCCTCAGACATCCCATAGTAACCCCGTTGTAATTTCATAGAAATATGATAGAACTATCATGGAAATCCCATAGGAATCCCAAAGAAATTCCATAGAAACATCATAGAAATATCATAGACACCCCATAGGAATCCAATGGAAATCCCATAAGAATACCATAGAAATCCCATAGCATCCTTTCAGAAATCCCATAGTGATTTCATAGAAATATCATAGAACCATCATGGAAATCCCATAGGAATGCCATAGGAATCCCATAGAAATCCAATAGTAATCCCATTGAAATATCATAGAAATCCAATAGAACTACCATGGAAATCCCAAAGAATTCCCATAGAAATATCATAGAAATATCATAGAACCACCATAGAAATTCCAAAGAAACCTCATGGAAACCCCATAGAATTCCCAAAGAAATCCTATAGAAATATCATAGAAATACCATAGAAATATCAAGGAAATCCCAAAGAACGCCAATAGAAATATCATGGAAATCCCAATGAAATCCTATAGGCATATCATAGAAATACCATAGACATCCTTTTGAAACCCCATAGGAACCCCATAGAAATACCATAGACACCCCTTTAGAAAAACCATAGAAATTCCATAGAGTTCCCATAGAAACTTTGTAGAAATTCCATAGAAACACCATAGAAATCAAGCAGAGGATGCCAGGACAATTGAACTAAGTAAGGGACACAAGCTGTAGCGAAGGAAATGAGAAACGGATTTTGGAAAAAAAACACTTCAAAAAAAAACTGTACACAACCGAGGTCCACCACAACAAACATACTATTGAAGATCAATGCTGGTCATGGGCTACCCCTTGAAAAATTGTTTGGGTGCTGTTTTTTTTTTTTAATATGGGGTTTCAACAAAATACTTGGCATGTTGATTTTGTTCTTTCATTTTATGTTTAAAAACATGTTGCGATATAAGTAGTTGATTGTTTGAATAGTTTAAACGATGATAAACATTTCAAAAAATGAAAAACTGAAACCACAACATGCTGAAAAAAAATGGCCTCAGAAAAAAAAAATGCCACAATACCGACCCACCCCAGCAATTCCACTGGGTCAATACAGTATCCCCACACTAATCGGGATACTACATTATCATTATTCGCAAAACAGGCTTGACTAAAAGAAAAATCGCATTGGAATTAGACTGCAGTTCATGCCTTTGCATCTCGGTGCCTTCCGGCCAGACACTTCTTCATTATTGCGGAATTTCATTGGACGAGGAGGACGAAATCAAGGCAAGACAAGTGTTGGGCTGCCCTCCGCGACAAAAAACACAGAAGCTCCTTGCCTGACTAAGGGAGCAGAGGGGTGCAGGGCTAATTTCACCTGGATCAGATGCTATACCTGGAGCATATGGAACTGCTTAATAATTTATTTTCAATTTCTATGCAAGCCAACTGTATCGCCTTCCCTTCTCAGCGCCAAACGGTATAGGAATGAAAAAGAACAGCAACGGAATCTGGATGGATCACAATGTATCTACATCTTTTTTATGCCATCTAGATCTACCTGGGCCATTTTTGCATGGAAGCTGTGGAGAAGGACATTAGTATAAAACCATTATAGAATCATAGAACTTCACATGGAACCATTGGAATCATTAGAACGCGGAATCATCATGAATCATCTACGTAGTGACATGGACTGCGAGCTTCAGCTGAGGAAACACTTGGGAAAGCAAATCTCTGACACATCGATGCCAGCCACACCATCAAGTCAGGGATCCGCCATGGAGCCATCTCTCATGCAGATCGTCCAGGCAGCAAGACATGTCACATAATGGTCACACATGTTAACTTGCCAATGCGCCAAACAAACATATAACATCATAACATACAATGCCAAATTGACTGTGTTTCAACACACACACATATTAATATATAATATAAATGAACCTGCATCGTTGTCATGAATCGACAAGGGTGAATTGGAATTTCACTGGCTATTCTTGCTGGTGGAGTTTGATATGGAGAGAGTCAAACGGCATCAAAGAACCCCAGCAATCACTCCTGCCCCGCTTTCCTCCAGCTTGGGCATTTGTAACGGTGATCTGGCCATTTCCCGCTCGTAAAGTGAGGCATCAATGAAAAGATTGATTCACGGTGGATGTTTTAGTATATTTATATATGCGTCTTAATTAAGACTTTGTCAGGCCTCTGGCCAGGAAAGAAGCTCAGCAGCGACAAGGGGAAATTGATACGACTGTCGTGTCAAGCTTGTTGTTCTGCGAACAATTTACATTTTGCTTGGAGATTCGTTTCTCTTCGTTGTTTTGCAGCTTTGCCGTTCTCAATAAGGAAAACTGCGAGATCAGATGTCGAACTCTGTGGTGGAAAAGCGACGGTTTGGTCTTTTGGCTCATCCAGACCCTTGGCAAAAATCGAAATTTGCATGAGAGAGCTTGCCGACATGTTGAAAGGTTTAATTACCGATGTTTATATGGGCAGGATGGGCAAGTCTGGGTGACGGTCCGGACATTTTGACAGGAAGTCTTGTCGACTCAAATTTTGTCTTTGTACTGTTTTGGGTGCCAGCTATATCATCGCTCCACCTTTCGCATTATAAACATTGAGCAAGAAACATAAAAGTAGCTGCTCACAATAACACCTGTTTCATCGGACCTTCCTGATCGGGAATATATTAATATATATATATATAATTCTTCTGATATCTTATCTTATGATTTATGATTATGACACAAGTTATCTCAAGTTAACCGTGGAGGGCCACATACTGTGACGTCATGCAAAACAGCGTTGTCATGCTTTCTCTCAGGACTTGAAGATCCCTCGTGATGTGGCAACGCCCGCGTTGGCTCACAAACGCAAGGATGCTTTAGTTCGGGTCCCCAGGACTCAACCTACATCCATCCGACAAAGCTAGTTTGGCTATATGTGTTTTTTTTGGCATGGGCATGGGCCGTGATATCTAATGGTGAATAAGGGGTTTGAACACTGACATGTTCGCAATGGCTTCGGTGCTCAGGATGCTCCGTCCACACCAGAAAGGAAGAAGAAAAGGCTGGCAGCCGCAACTGTGGGGCCAACTCCACGAGTGTCTCGCGCTTTGCTGATGTCGCCAGAACTGGCAACCCCAGAACCTTGTTGCTTGCCATGCACAGACGCGCAGAGATGTTGTACTTTTCCTGAGAATTACACATGGATGTGTTTTTGTGGTGCCAGTCAACAGCTAGCCAATGGGACGCCCAGTCACATTCAAGAGGCTTTTTCTTCATTCAATATTCAATGCCTCTTTCCTATGCTGGCTCAGTTGCACGAGCCTAATTACATGGGTTTGAGTGCAACTGGTATCAACTGGTGGGTTGTAGGGCCTGGTTGTTCACACTAAATTTATCAACACCTTTTGCTGGCCATTGTTCTGCAGGAGGCTTGATTTGAAGATTCATTTTTGCCAGTCGATCTGGAGCTTTGCGTTCGTGTTATCATTATCATTCTCATTCAGGTCTTGCTGACGATTCTCCAGTGCGTTGGCGATTTGCTGAGAGTGTGCCAGTTGAGCCCACTGCGGCGGAAACTGAGGTGACTGTCTCCTGGCTGATATCTGGGGCGGATTTCATGTTTGCAGAAGCACTCTCTTCATCATATATATATATATACACAATTACCTATTATGTTTTAAATAGTCTATCCGTGTTTTGCAATTCTTGTCAAGCGCTTGAGCTGTGGTGGCTTCGAATTTATTATCTTTGTAATACAGTGCAGTACGGTAATTATGGGAATCGCACTGCGCTTCAAAAACGTCAAACCCATTTGACTCTTGCAACGATGGCTGCCAGAAGGAGAGGGACGGCCTTGGAGAAACTAAGGCGTGCTGGTCAGCACTGAGGGATGCACCCTGGTAGATTTTAATGTCGACATCCACGACAGTTATTAGGCTTTTTTGTAGACAACGGTTAGGCAGGATCCAACGATGTTGGATTGTGTATATACTGAGCTGACAGTAGTCAATGGTGCCCTAGGGGTGTGTTAGTTGAAGCCAAGAAGTTCACTGGACAATTGTGTATACACACTATATATCACTATATTATAATAAACCATTACAGTTGTATGTATGCTTGCAAATTATTCTGTTCGCGTAGCGTGCTGTGGGCACGAAGTATCGAAGTAATTCGGTGCAATGACAATCTAATTCACCAGCCGCAAATGACTGGTGTCTCGTGCAGTTTCACGCTTAGGGTTCAGGGTTGAATGTCCCCCGCATTCTTCACCTGGTGGGTGAAGCCGGGCAGAGGCACATACATTTTGTATACTGCTCTGCTATTGACTCGTCTCATCTCCAGCTGAATGTTTGTCTCGACCACTCAGCAGCAACAAAAGGTGCTGCTGGAATGCTGAATGAGCCCTTGTTGAAGTACCTGAAACACCTTCTGAATTCTGATATTGATTTATATAATTGAAATTAATTGAATAGTTTTCTCCAAAAAGCTGAAAGAGTCTTGTCTCATTTCAGGCCGGCCATGTGCCAACCCTTTCAGATTGCTGTTCTTGACTATATAGTTGTATCTAGTTGTAATCATGGAATTTGGCAGGGTATGAATGACATTGGATTGCATCCTCAGATCCTATGCCTGACATGTCTTGCTGAACAGGTGGTCCAAGCAGAGCCCGAGAAAGCACTAGAAGCTGTCAAGCAAGCAGCAACGAATCCAGAGCCAAGGGCACCGGATCCGCCAGAAGGAGAAATCATCGCAGAAGCTTCCGAAGCTGGAACGCTGTCGCAGAAGGGCGCAGCAACAGCAATTGATGAAACCAAACAATCTGCGACTGGAACTTCCAGGCGCTGTGCATGGGGGATATGGAGGAAAGATCCTGCTTCGACGCAAGACTTTATTTTGATCCAAATTGCATAGCCAGGTCGCAAAGTGCGGGCAATATTTCGTAGTTTTTGTTGGGGCCTGGCAACAAAATATAAATTATGCCACACAGGAAGCGACATCAAAGCGGCATTTTCTGGAAGAATTGCGAAGGCATTATTTTCTATTTGGTTTCATGTTCCTTCAGGCCGAGTGTTGAGCCCCAAGTGCAAGATGTCGAAACAGAAGATGTGAAGGTTGGGGCCTGAATTGGGATGATGCCAAGTTGATGTATCCCTTTTTTTCAGGCCATGATTGCAATGCTGAAAGTTGAAGGATAACGGGATGTTAAGCCATCAAACTCATGAAACGATTGGTTTTGGACAAGTTTTTCGAGAGGATTGCCATTGAATTCCAACTTGTATGGCTGCAGCATTTTTGTGGCTCAGAAAAGGCAGGGATTTACGGCATCGTAGCTGTTGACATGGCAAACAAGAAGCTCTTATCCAAGGTGCTCCTGACTCTGGCGGCTGTTCTGATGCTTAGACAAAGCTCAGACGCCTTTGTGTCGCCCGGTGCTTTGTTAGCTGCCGCAGTGGTGAGCGCCGCCAGCCCAGCAATGGCAGAAGTGCCTACGTTTTCAGTCTTTGGCTTTGGCAGTGGTCAATCAGATGCATACTCGCAGAACGACAATCCAATCAACCCCTACTCGCAATTCAGTGATGGCACGGACACAGTGTACCGAGCCAGGAACCAGGATGAAGTTGACAGGAAAAAGAAAGCATTGACTGCAGCTTTCCAGCGATTTGAGGCCACACCAGAGTACATCAAGACCAAGCAGGCCCAGAACCTCAGGGCCAATTTGCTGGAGGCTGGTGGCTCCCTCAAGGAAGATATGTTCTACTTCTCTGGAGATGAGGGATCTAAAGCGTACGGTAAAGCCCGCGAATTCTCGCAAAAAGTTTCCACTTTGGGTGTGGATGGTGGCAACAAACAATGGGCCAGGGCACAGGATGATTTTTCTGCTGCGAGCAGAGCCCTCTCTGAGTGGAAGGACTTGGCCAAGTTCTAAGTCCAAGACATCTAAGAATCTAAGAGTCTCAAGGGCCTCACAGCGGGTCACAGCTGCGTTTTTAATTGTAACTGCTGAGCCCTGCCGACTTCGAGCCAAAAGATGCCAGCTACAGCCTACGGCTTCACAGGTTTGTATACAAACGCGCCGCTTGTCACCCCCCACCGCTGGTTCACCCCCATTCAGATCATTTGTTGCATGATTTCTTCCATTCTATTGCATGCATGGGGATGGCGAACGGCTATTGAAGCCGGGCAACTTGGAATCGGATTTCATGATATTTATGGATGGACCATTTGTGGATTTCTATAATGGGGATCCCTTGTCAGGGAGCAGCTTTTTTCATGCCCTTTGCTCCGCGCAAAGACACTGCAGTGCAGGCCCGACATGGCCCGACACATGCCCGTCACTTTTGGAGTCCTCTTGCCAATACAAATCAACAACATATAATAAAATACACTAATTACACTATACAATATATTGTAACGATTTGTAACGTATGCTGCAATGGCTGCAGCCAATATAGTATACATGCAGCATTATACTGACATTTTTGAAGTCCTGGTTTTGGAACTTGCATTAAACTTGCCTATACGTGGTCATTTGAAATCAATATGTTCAGCGACATGAAAATTAATTGTGACATGATCATGTTGTTGGCCCTGCAGCGACCCTCCTAAGAAAAAACAGTATAGCTACAGGCATGATAGACACAGGTTCAGCCGCCCCATGCGCATTACCAACCTGTTCACTTAATACGAAATATATAGTACTCAAATATACGCGTACGATTCTGTACAGTTCTTGATGATATTGAGATATCTAATATCTACAGTTACAGTATTATGGTTTTTTGTGTTTTCACATTTGTGGCCAAGGGTCCTCCACTCCATTATCCCCCACGGTTTTCTATTCTTTTCGCATTCCGAGAAGTGCCAAATATGGTGTTCGGATATGTTCAAATGCTCCATGAAGCAGGTGCCGGAAGTGGTTGCGGCAATGCCGAAGCAAAAGGAAGATCAGGTGCCTGCAGTGGTCCGGGCCCTTGTGCGATCCTTGAAATTTGCATCCCTGGCCCACCCAGTGGCCTAGACTGGTGGGGTTGATTTGAATATAATTGAATATGTCACAATATGTCCCATTCTGAATCATTCTGTGAATTACGTGTCATTAAAAGAAGCCTCTTATCCACCAAAGGACACTGTGAACCCATAGCGCAGCACGTCAGCAAACAAAATGCACCACGCATACAAGACAAGGTTTCTAGCTGATTCTAGCTGTTCTAGCTCGCCGCAGTTTTGTTTTCTTGGCCGCTCTGAGGCCTCTGAGGTGAAGCAAGACACGGCACAAGCGGAGGTTTGCCTTGAAAACTTGACAAAGCATGAGACGCCACCATATCTGCCATAACTCTGTACTCCTCGGCTTCAGTCTGAAAACAATGTTGAGATACGTTGGAGTTGCACATGTAAGTATTGAAGACCGCATTGTGCTTTGTTTGTTTTGTTTCGCTTTATGCTAAGTGTACTGATGGTGACTCTATGACATTCTATGACCCTATGTTTGATACATTGCATTCCTTGAAACCTTGCACGCATTGCGGTGAATTGTGAGGCTTGTCAGGCCACAGACGACGAGCCAAAGCAGTGGAGCACCCAGGGCAATTCGATCGGATGAAACCCATGACGTTTCTGAGGCAGAGATTAAGGGCTCTCAAAGGATATCGAAGGGTGATGACATGTGATGACTCATGACAAAAACGATGAAACAGCTAAACATGTGGATTGTGAAGGTATGTGAAGGTATGTGAAGGTATGTGAAGGTATGTGAAGGTATTCTCCAAGTTTGCATTGTTTTGAATTTTGGATTTGTTTTGGGCTTTGTCCCACAAGTTTTGGACATACAGTGAATGGTGATAGTGATGCCTATTCGCAGAAGGCCAGCATCCTCTCCGCCGCAACCAGCCTTTGTGAAGGCAAGCCACTGTATGTCCTGGCAATCCTTCAAATTCATACATCTTGAGACAATTTTAGAGGAGCCATGATTTCTGATGACTTCCTTCTCATGAGAATAAGACAGGCCAGCAAGGGCTGAGAGTAATGAAACTCTTTACTGTAGCATGTTAGCAACTCTCGGGTTTCTATCATGGCTTGACAACCTGCCTCCCATGTGGAAGGCCAACAGGCCAGATCTCAAAGGCCGTGGGACCTGGGATGGCCTGGATAGTCGGATTGACCATGTGAGCATCATGTGATAGTGGGAGAATTTCGGAGAATTTCGGAGTTCTTGTATGTTCTTGTGCGGTTGTAGTCAGACCTGGAGTCACGATGAACAAACCAAGAGGGCCGGCGCTGCATTTACTCCAGGTCGACGAAGGATGGCTCTGTCCCCTATGGTTTGCGCATGTTTGCGCCATGCATTATTAGTTCGAAAAATCCTTCCCCGCTCCCTGAAACGGCAAACATCAGCAAATGTATGCAAATGTTCCCAGAAGATGGCGCAACCATGCGCAACCCTAAATGCCCAAAATGGGTCAAATTGCGCCATCTACCTCATTTGTAGTTCCCAGCAGGAAGCTGTTCGGTTTCAATCTCTAGAAGCAGGGGGTGGTGTCGCGTTCCTCCTTCTGCGATGTATGCACAGGGTTCCGGGAACCTTGGAACCTTGTCTCCCAGTGTCTCCCATTTTGTCTCCCAGCTATATATGTGTTACTGTATGTTATGTGTGTTGCACAGTGTCTCCCACACCGAACCTTGGAACCTTCTCTGCCGCTTCGTCTCCCACCTTGTCTCCCGCTTGTTTCCCAGCTTGTGTCGCACTGTGTGCGTCGCACTGTGTGTCGCACTGTGTAACAGTGTATAACAACCTTGTTTGCCACCGTGTCTTCCACTGCGGAAACTTTGGAACCTTGTCTACCACTTGTCCCTCAGCTTGTCTCCCGTTATGTCTCCGACTATGTCTCCCAACATGTCACCCACTTTCCCATTTTATTTTCGACGTTGTCCCCCTATGTGTCTACCAGCTTCTCTCCCACTTTGTTCCCCGCACTTTGTTTCCCAAGATTGTCTCCCACTTTGTCTCCCCTTTGTTTCTCACATTGTCGTCCCCACTTTATTTCCCACTTTGGCTCCCAATGTATGTCCCAGCTTGTCTCCCACTTTGTCCCCCACTTTGTGTCCCAACTTGTCTCGCACTTTGTCTCCCGCTCTGTCTCTCACTTTTGGTTCCCGCTTTGTCTCTCACTTTGTTTCCCGCTTTGTGTCCCACTTTGTTGCTCACTTGTTTCCAAAGCCTTTGTCTTCCAATGTGTTTCGCACTCTCTCTCTCTCTCTCTGTTTAAGTGTGTCTCACACTGTGTCTCCGAGTCTCCTCCCACTTTGTCTCCCACTTTGTTTCATTTATTGTCTCCAACTTGGTCCCCCACTTCGTCCCACTTGTTTCCCACTTTGTCACTCACGTTGCCTAACATTTTGTCGCCCACTTTTTTTTCTCCTGCTTTGTCCCCCACTTTGCCCCGCACTTGTTTCCAACTTCGTCTCCCACTGTGTTTCCCCTTTTGTCCCCCTTTGTCTCCCACTGTGTTTCCTCTTTTGTCTGTCTCCCAGTGCGTTTTCCATCCAGTATCTTTGCTTCCCACTGTGTCTCCCAGTGTGTTTCCGACTTTGTCTTCACTTTGTCTCCCACCTTGTCGCCCAGCTCGTTTCCCACTTTGTCCCTCACTTTGTCTCAAATTTTGTTTCCCACTTTGTTTCCCACTGTGTTGCCCACTTTGTCTGTCATTTTGTTTCCATGTTGAAAGTCAAAATGTGGCCCAAACATGGACGCTACTCGGGAGCTTTTTCACTTTGAATTTTGGAATCTTCATTGCTGTTGGGTTGCAAAGTTGGGTTAATTTAATTTCCTTTTTTCGGGACTCAACGTTTCGGTCATCTGATTTTGGTTGGGGTTGAGAGCACTTTTGGTGTCAAATTTGAAAGCGTCGGCGCCATCTATATCGTCCTCTTTGGCAGTGGGCGGCGTCATTTTTCGTCAAATATGTCTAAACTGGCACAGGATTGCACAGAGGATGATCATGCTGAGGTGTTGTGAGCTATTGCTATTGGTTTTACTCAGTGCTTATAAAGGTTTCTGGTCCTCCCTTCGCTCTTGATGTTCTTATTTTTGGCCGTTGTTCCGAAGGTTATGTTGCTGTGCCTGTACAGTTGGGCGACGCAAAACCAGCAGAGGAGAAAGGCACCAGCATGTGTACAGGTCACATGTTCAATGTTTGGTTAATCCCTTCCTCCTAATACTAAACGTCCCCCCCTCATTAATAAACACGGCAGGTAGATTTTAGTATTAGGGTGGATTAGGGTGGTATTTATTATATTTTATTATTAGGGAACCCTATTAATGAAATTAAACCCGTTAATAATAAAAACTATTTTCAAAATCAATTAAAATTCTTTAAGCGCAATGAACATATTGCCAAAAATTGGATTTCGAAGCTTCCCCTAATATTAAATTAAAACCCTTAATAAAACTATGTTTTCTGATTTCGAAATCAATTAAATATATTTATATAACACAATTAAAATATTGCCAAAACTTGGATTTCGAAGCTTCCCCCTCATATTAAATTAACACCCTTATAAATTATAAATAATAAAAACTATTTTTTCCGATCTCAAAATCAATTAAATCTCTTTATATAACGCAATTAAAATATTGTCAAAAATTGGATTTTGGAGCTTCCCCCTAATATTAAATTAAAACCCTCAATAACAAAAACTATTTTTTCCGATTTCAAAATCAATTAAATTTCTTTATATAACGCAATTAAGATATTGCCAAAAATTGGATTTCGAAGCTCCCCCTAATACTAAATTAAAAGCCCTAATATGAAAAACTTTAAAAAAAATCGGACGGACCCTAATAATAAACGCTCCGGGATTGACTAGTTTTTAGTATTAGGGGGCAAAACCCACAAATGGTAGCTTGATTTTTAAATTGTTTTCTAAAGGGGATCAATTAAAAGTCAAATTGGCCAATCTGAAATTTTCCAAAATTGGAGATGGACACTAGTTTTTAGTATATGGGCGGGGTTCAGCAATAGGAGGAAGGGATTATTTTGTTAAGCCAAGTGCCAATAGCAGACATTCTTCAGCTACTGAGTTTCTTCTGCCTTGGGCAGGTGTGGCAGCTGTCGCAGCTCCTACCGGGAAACAACACTCCGCAGAGGTTCATTGTGTCAGCAACCTGTTTGTCGAACTTGGCAGTGATTTAGCATGGACAGAATTGGATCTTGTGAACCAAAGTATGCAGCATGTCGATTTCTGGTGTCTTTGTTCATCGCGGGCTACGTGCAAGTGACTAGAGAAAGTGTTGCCGGCGCACAGGTCTACCTTGAGAAAGACATAGAAAGAACCTAGCCCTACAGTAGCCTATGCACAAAATACATCAAAATACAAAAACGGCAGTAGATGTTGCCAGTGCTTAGGCCGGTTCTGGACCCTTGCCCAGCAAGACCGCCAGGATTTCAGAGGATCTCCATGCATTTGCCGTTCCATTTTGCTGGTATGTCTTTGTACTAATTGAATCTAATT